GTGATAAAAGCCGAACATAATATCACAACAGATATAAAAACATTTTTTAAGCATAACCTTTATCAGTTTTATATAGTTGAAATCATTAGTCAATTGAAGCTAGACCACTATGGGAAACCTGAAAGCATTTGACTACCGTTTCATCGTATTGTGGGACTCTTCAGTAGTGCGCATCCATGATTTCAACTATATAAAATTACTAAAATCCCCACAAAACCCCCTCTATCAGTTTATCTCATAAAAGGTATAAATGGTGTAACATATAGTTTGTAGAGATTAACATTAATCTTGATAACATTTGGTAATAGTAATATTAATGAAGTTACAACACATACACATATTGTTATTCAAGTAAAAGAAATCGAATATAAAATAAGTCTGTTTGTAAAGAAAAAAAATTATGAGAACGTGTATTATCAGATTAAGTATAAGTAGAAATTCAGTTGATAGTGTTTGTTTGAATCTTCCCATTGGTGTTTAGAACTGAAATTGATCAGTCTCTTAATGAATTTAAACTTCAGCTCCATTGCATAAGCAAGTGGCTATTAAGACTCAGTAGCTAAGTGGATAACTCGATGTCGTTTGAAGCGGATGGTACTGGGTCCGAGTGCCAGACTGAACATCAACTCTGAGATGCAGGTACATTCAGCTGACTAGTCTCAACTGGGACGAAACGTGCGTCCTGGTTTCCACTTCTAGCCACTATCCATCTTTGCTTATAAGTATAAGTAGATTAATAAATCAACATATATACACATAATTGTCTATAGATTTTCATTAAAAATGAAAATATTTCCATTAAACTTTAGATCTTTCAAAATAGATATTCATTTTATCATTGCTACTGATAAAATGTTTGTGTAGCCTAAAGTATAAGTATTATCTTCAAGATATAAATAAAGCGAGTTCGAATTATAATACTTAGTTGGATACTAGATTTATTAATAAATATGTTCGGTATGTTCCTACTTGTTATTATTATGGTTTATCGAGGCCGGATCGTGGATGCGCACTGCTTAGGAGTCCCATAATAGGAGGAAACGGCCGTCCAGTGCTTAAAGGTTTTACATGGTAGTCTAGCTTCAACTGACTCATGATTTCAACTATATAAAAAATTGTTAGTAAACTACACCGTCAATATCAATATGTCTCAATACCATTATTCTTTAGTATCTAATTACGTTGTGTACAGAATTTTTAAGATTTCAAACTTTTGGCATGTTTCTACAATGAAACAATCTAATCTCTTATTTGGTATTGACTAGTGTTATACTATTTAAGTCTAATTTTATTGACATAGTTAGTATTGTTTAGTGTATGCTATTTATTCTGACAGATATAAGTAGTATGTGTCATCAATAAGAAGTGGAATGCCTGAGAGTAGAAGATTGAAACGATGAGAAGAAGGAAATTGGAGAGTAGTCGAAATAACAACAGAATCAGAAGAATAGTGGAGTATGTGAAGGACAACGCAAGAAAGCTGTGCAAATGATTCAATTTATTTAATGTATAAATTCATTTAGTATAGTTTGTTTGAATCTTCCCATCGATGTGTTCGGACTGCAACTGGTCAGTCTCTAATTGGCATATGTGCATACTGTGCGTATTGCCTCGATATACCTTAATTCACAAGCATGGTAAGCATAAATGGATAGTGGCTAGCCACTATCCATTTATGCTCATTTAATGTATGATTTTCATATTTCATTAAGCCACTGTGTGATTTTGCGTTAGTTTTCCCTAACTGAGTTTTCGTTCATTATACTATGTTCATTAAGCTGCATGACATAAAATAAGTTGTTTGACCTTTGATGAGAATTAGTATTTTACATTGTATGATTTTTAACTATTTTAGTAACGGTGTTTGTGGTATCTTTAAAAGACCTATTTTTCTTCCTAGTATTAGAGGGAAGTCACCAGTTACCATTGCAGAAGTAATCAACACTACACTACTTATTTTAAACTGAGAACGATAAACAACACTTTGGTATAATTTAATTCATTCCTTCTAAAAATTCTGTTGTAACGGAGATTGAGTTTTAATGTAAAACCAACTTAACTGGAATGTGAACTTTTCATAAAACATTAATTACATGAAGTATTTAAGATAAATTTTAGCGATGAACGATAACTGATATGAAATCCTAATAGAGTCGAATGGAGTATAAAACCAAAGCAATAAACAACTTAAAAAGTATCTTCGGTTGCTGAACAATAATTTATTCCGATAAACTTCTGACGACCCTGAAAACAAATGGGGTTTAGAGTGACAGAGCTTTCAAATCCATTGTGGCATCCAGTTATTTGTGCTAGTTAGTTAGTATTATACATTTTTAATGTTTTAATTGTTAGACGTTTGACTTTCAACTATTATCCAGCCTAGTCTGAAAATCACTGATTTAGTTTAAAATTTTCGGAAAATTGAATTTTCTAGACTACTAATTAATATTCATAATTCTAGAGAAAGTCATATTTATTGGTTTTTAGGAAAATGTTTTTTTGCGGTGTGTGCTACTGATGTCGACAGATATAAGTAGTATAAATCAACAATCGAAAGTGAAATGCTCGGCGACAGGAGGTTGAAGAGATCGAAGAAAAGTGAACAAGAACAGAGAATGACAGGTGTGGAAGTGAAGGAACAATGAAGTCTGAAATGATTGATTGACATTTTGCAAATAAAGTATTTATTGTATGGTTCACAGATTTTACAAAGGCCTTCTATAATTTTGTATTCAGATACATTTGGTTGTCCCACTTGTGTTCTCGTTCACTACGGTTCTAACTAATAAAAACCTATCATTACATACTGAGAGCTACAAGAATACTGTTTTATGTGATATGCAATGACGTAATAATATTTGAACCGCACTCACTATGAAGGTTATTGGAACAGAATGAAGTTCAAACTAGCTGAGTAATAAATTCACTTAGTATTGCTTGTTTGAATCTTCCCATTGATGTTTAAGACTGCAATTAATCAGTCTCTTAATGAATTTAAACTTCAGCCCCATTGCACAAGCAAATGGCTATTAAGACTCAGTAGCTAAGTGGATAACCCGATGACGTTTGAAGCGGATGGTACTGGGTCCGAGTGCCAGAGTGAACATCAACTCTGAGATGCAGGTACATTCAGCTGACCAGTCTCAGTTGGGACGAAACGTGAGTCCTGGTTTGCACTTCTAGCAACTATCCATGATCACTTATAAAAGTTGTTTACATAGTTCCAACGGCGAAATATTTGTATTACCATTGGTTAGTTTCAAGTATTATATCCATAACTCAGGGAATACTATGTAAATGTTGTCTTTCAATTATATTCATGGATCGCTGGTTCCTCACACAGGATATAGAAAATATATACGTCTGCTGAATTACTGTTGGAACTAATTAACAAAATATCAACCACGGTTGAATTTACCCATAGCAACTTTGTCAATACTATATTTACTTCATAAACAGCATTTTAATAGTGGGTTGAATAGATTGAGTGAAAGTATACTAGAAGATCTATAACTTAAATTCTCATCAAAAATACTCTAAATTAATCTTAGAAGTTGAATACTTTTAAAAAAACGTTATACTACTCATAAGTACGTACAAATATATAAATGATTTTTTTAAGCTCCATCTGAATTCAACAGAAAAATAAAGTTCGTTTTCTTTATAGTTGAAATCATGAGTCAGTTGAACCTAGACCACCAAGGAAAACCCGGAAGCAATGGACGGCCCTTTCGTCCTATTGTTTTCAAAAATTTTCACATCAATTCACTGAGTATGGTGAAAGTAGTAAATATTGGCAGAACTTTCTAGCATTATAAATTTTCACAATAGACATATTGGTGACAAATCTACTACATCGAGTAATTTTATAGTCGAACATTGCGAGGTGGGATCATAGATGCGCACTTTTGAGGAGTCCCATAATAGTACGCGACGGCCTTCCAGTGCTTTCAAGTTCCCCATTGTGGTCTAGCTCCAATTGACTTCTAATTATTTATCCAAACTTGTCTTCATTTGAACTTCTAAAGAAGCAACTTACTCTGTAAGTCACAAAACGTCAAAAACTGCATTTTATGCTCACTAGGAGATTATGAATTTTTTAAAAAGACGTATTTTAATTCGTTATTGATCTTATGTCTGACTTTTGTCATGTGAATGATCCACCAATCGAAATACGACTTATCCAATCTTAGCACTGTGCCAAATCAATGACATTCAACCAGTATGAGCAGTCTAGCATCCTTAGTGATCCTTCGTCGGCCTAGCCCTTTCAGTTGAGTCCAGAACACCAATTACAACTTCTGCTATGCGAATCATTTATTTCAAACATACTTGGTTTATATACTAGATAGACAGATAGACAGACCAAATCACACCATAAAATAGAAAATAATATTTGTACAAGTTCAAGTCAAATGTGGCTGTGAGAGTGGGAGACGTTAATTAATAAACTGAACATAATTTGAGAATAGTAAATTGTATAATAATAATTTATGGATCAAAATGAAACTTATGATAATAGGAATATAGATATACACAATCTAGTTACTGAACAGTTATACAATAAGAATATACATAGAATAATAGTCCATTAATAGATCGTGGAAGTTACCCGTACTTATCAAAATCTAAGATTCCAAATGATAGATATATAAACTCACATTCCTTTATAAAAGATTGATTTTTAACCATATAAACAATAGTACAATAATGAAATGGCATTAATAGTTTCAACAAAATAAAAAAAGATTTTTCTATCTTTGTTCTATTAAATTGTTTATTTGGACTTTATTCACCTTTGTTTGTTTTTCTATTTTTCTATTCATGTTGAAACTTGTCAGAAATTAAATAAAGTGAACAAAGATTAATATCATGGATTAAGTTCAGTTGATAATGATAAACAATGACGGAGAGAGAGAGAGAGCAAAGAATTCTTAATCAACTTCTATATAAATAATCATTATATCATCATATTAGAATGGTAATATTAACCATTAACCATGAAGTCATTATGTATATTATGTTTACTTATTTCATTAAGTAAGTAGTTGTTCATTCATTCATGGAATTTTTTAATCATTCTTCAGTATTCTATGTGAATAGTAGAATGGAAGATTCTATACATCAACTACAACTTCAAAAGGTCAGTCAAATCAATGAAACTTATCTAATTGAATATTTAAGAAGGTTGAAATATTTATGATCTTTGTTTTTATATGAAGTAAACTAATAAGATTATAACCTTCTTTAGGGTATATATTAAGATGGTATTCCTGAATTACATAGACAGTTTCTTTAATGTGCAGTTCAGTGTATAAATCAGATTATGATTGAAAAATAAGGCACAATCAAAGTTTATTCGTTTAAGCTGTTTGATTTCGCTGTAAAATTCAATTTACTGTCTTCCTATAGTTTTGTTTTCGGTAAATCAAATGTATTTTCATAATTGATATCATGAGTCAATTGAAGCTAGACCTCCATGGAAAACCTGGCAGTACTGGAAGTCCGTTTTGTTCTAGTATCGGACTCCTCAGCAGTGCGAAACCACGTCTGTTGTAAAGATATCAACTCACTGAGGACAGTTGGTGAATGGTCGCTCAAACTTCGTGGATTGGTTGAAATTAGACATTCATACGGCTGGATGCCGACTCAGTGGTCTATTGGTTGAGTGCTCTGGCACAAGACTGATAGGTCCTGAGTTCGAATCTCGGGAGTGCGGGATCGTGGATGCGCACTGTTGAGGAGTCACTCAATTGGAGGAAACGGCCGTCTAGTGCTCTCAGGTTTTCCATATTGGTCTAGCTTCAACCGACTCATGATTTCAACTATGAAAATACTGAAATCTCCACATAACCCCTTCTGACATCAAAAGGTGTTTATCTCTTTGAATGAAGCATTCTACTGAAAGGTTTATGCTCAGTCACCAATTATACATAGACCAATTATGAATTTGAAATTATATTTTATACTTATCTCTTTGATAACATTGATTGATATAATTTTATTACTATACATGATATCATATGGGTTGTTTTAAATATTCATGAGGGTATTGTATGGAGAAGCGGGTTGCAACTCCAGATTACATTAAATTTACCAAAATAATTCTCAGTAATATACAGAAACATCAGTTCACATAGTTTCTGCCCCCAGATGCGATGGTTTCGGCCGAGAGCGGGACAAGTCAACTCTCCCTCTCGAAAGGCTCTCACATGGCGATGCGTATATAGCCTCTATCAGGAAACTCCTACTCCCTGCCTTCTCGTGGCATTACTGTTGTTTACGAAATTAAGAGGATGAAAAGCGAATGTCCGGCGCTTTAGCCGAGTCGGTGGACACGGAAAGTCCACCTAGGGGAGTTGGGAAACCCTGATTCCAAACCAATGGTGTACATTGGCTCCAGTATCCTGAGTGAACAAATGGCGTATGAATCAATCGTCGGTCACCGACCACCATGTGACTGCATCTCTTTACGATGCACCACTGCCTTGCGGATCAGACCCTAAGAATACAATCTGCCTCGGTTTGCGCACCTGAGCAATATGACAGCCCTCACACAAATCAAATGAGATTTGTGTGGAGCATATATATCTCGTGCCTCTTTGTAACAACATTTATGTGTTCAAATAAATACTGAATACTAAATCTGGCAACTTCCTACAGTCATAGAAATCTATATTACGAGTATGTGACGATTGTAGGAAACTAAAATATAAAATATAATTCAAGCGTGCATAATTTAAAACGATTAAGGCCCATCTACATCTCACTGTACATGTTTACACTGATACTGGACTAAATTGTTTATAAGTTTAAAAGTCAACCCGTTGTTTACTCGGCTACTGAGTTCAAATTGAATAAAAACTTGTGTATAAATGTCAAAATCAAAACTATGCTCCCATGATGTACATATGCTAAATAAATACTAATTCATTACAGTCCTTAACACCAACAGCAAGATAGTATTAATTGTTACAAGTATTGATAAAACGTTTTGGTAATTTAAGTTGTAAAGTCGATTTCAAACGATTATAGCTATCTATATGAAATAGATGGGATGTAATTAGCAATAAAATCCATCACACTCCACTCATCCTATTTAAGACTCGTCAGGTGGATTTACCTGAACCCTAGCGTTGGTATCCTCTCGGGAGACTCAATTCACTGCCTTTTGTTTCAAATGTCATCCACTTAACTGTTGTGTCCACGTAGTCATTCACTCATACAACGGAGTGGGCATCAACTCTATAGTGCCAGTACATCTAGCTGACAAGTCTCAAATTTGACGAAACGTGCATCATGGATTCCGCTGCTAGTTACATCCCATCTATTCTATGTAGATAGCTATATTGGCTTGAAATCGACTTTATAATTTGAATTAAAGAAAGATTTTATGACTATTTGTAACAATTAATACTAATCTGTGGCTACAGCAAAACAATCCTCAAAGGATGCTCATATGCTAAACAAGACTGATCAAATCTCAGTCAAAATATTCACGATGAGATAATCCAGGCCATTATAAATTTAAATCAGTGTATTTATTGAATTATGCGCTTAGACTGAAACATTCACTGTTCATATTTTACTCAAATATCCATTTAGTTTCGAAATACCATATTAGGTTGATAAGACTAAGCTTAAGTAACTGTTTATTTATGAACAACGTTGAAGCTTCATACCCGAACAGTTTTGTTGAAGCACTAAAATGACTAAAACTGGACAGAATTGAAGATTAGTCCAGAATATTTTTATATACTGAACAAATCATTTGGATTGGATACGTGCCAGTGTTAAAAAAGATCAAAGTTATTCTCTGCCATTTTATCTTACTGTTCAATTTATCCATCATAACTTATTTTTTTTTTAAACAGGATCTTCGAAGACGAAGTCAACCAAATCTCTATCGTGAGTGTACTTATCTTCAGTAAACTACAAAATATATACTGATACGGAATGATTTGTATGTATATTTGTATCACTTTTGAAATACACGATTTAGGAACTGTTTTATTTGTATTGTCAATTAGATAAGGCCGAATCACTTCAACTCTGCATCGATAGGTCTCCACATTCACAAAGGTAAAAGCAAGATTCTCAAATACAGCACGGAGAACCCTAAATCAACCACACTTGTTGGCGAAACTGTAAAAGAGGTGGAAACATTCACGTACCTGAGAAGCATCATGGATAAACAAGGAGAATCGGATGCAGATGTAAAGGAGAGGATTGGCAAAGCAAGGGCAGCATTTCTACAATTGAAGAACATATGGAACTCAAAACAACTCTCAACTAATTTCAAGGTTAGAATCTTCAATACGAACGTCAAGACAGTCCTACTGTATGGAGCTGAAACGTGGAGAACTACTGCATCCATCTCCACGAATGTACAAGTATTTATAAACAGTTGTCTACGCAAAATACTCAACATCCATTGGCCGGATACTATCAGCAACAGCGTTTTATGGGAGAGGACAAACCAGCTTCCAGCTGAAGAGGAAATTAGGAAAAGACGTTGGAAGTGGATCGGACATACATTAAGGAAATCACCAATGTGCATCACGACTCAATCCCTAACTTGGAATGGTGAAGGGAAGCAGAAAAGAGGAAGGCCAAAGAACACATTACGCCGGGAAATGGAAGCAGATATGAAAAGGATGAATAGCAACTGGAAAGAACTGGAAAGGAAGGCTCAGGACAGAGTTGGATGGAGAATGCTGGTGAGCGGCCTATGCTCCTCGACGAGAGATAACAGGCGTAAGTAAGTAAGGAAGAATCTTTTCAAGGAATTTTCCGCAGTGAATCTAATATTCTCAAACAAAATGTAGTATAAATAAATAATATATTTATAACTCTCAATGAGTAGAAAAATGAGATTTTCTGAGGTTTTGTGACTCAGTGTAAGCCACTTCTTCAGACAATAAATAACCAAATCAAAATTAATCCAAGTTTAAATAATACAAAAGAACAAAGCAAGAACATTAAATGCGATCAATCAAAAAACAGGTCTGATCAAGTCGATGTCGTGTCATTTCGGTCAAGGTGATTCATAAGCCACATGTATGTAAATGTGTGTATGTGCAGGGTCGGCGATCAAAAAATGTGACCTATGTGGTGACAAAGGATAGAGTTTAATATTTATGTACTATAATAGTGTGAGATGTGAATAATATCAGATGTGATAGCTTGGATAGATAGTCCAAGTCCGATGGATAGTGAGACTTATGATTATGCATTATGTGAAAATCTTCAGCTACTCGCCTTTCTCTATAGTCGGAAAAGCCTTTTGCATTATTTCGATGTTTTTGATATCGATTTGATGGTTGTTGAAAATGCTGTGAACTGCTATTGCCGATTAAATTTGAAGTCTATCCAGTTCTACAAGATTATTAGGTGGTTTCTTTGTGCACCTAATATGTTCCTTGACCCGAGTTAAGATTTCACGAGATAACTCTCCAATATAGAAGGCATCACAATCGACACAACCTAATTTGTAGACGCAGTTCTGTGTTGACATGAAGGAGATTTTCTTTAAAGCGAACCAAAGTATTTCGAAGTGTGTTCGTTGTTTTTGTATTTTACGTTAATTCTGTGTTGTTTTAAGAGTTGTTGGAGTTCTGTTGTGCCATGATGGTATGGTAAAACTGTAGTACCAAACCATAGCATTTCATTAGAATTATTATTATTACGTAATGAAACGTCTTGTTTTAATAAACTTCTAATAATCTTCATAGGAAAATTATTAAATTGTAAGATGCTGGTTATATTCTTTTGTTCTTTTTGTTTATCCTCTTCCAATGTGATAATCTTGTACTGGAAGGATGCGCTGAATTGAAGTCAATATAACGACTAGAGTGTGTAGGTCTTCGGTAGTTGGATAGATTTAGAATTCCATTTAGATCTCTTTTGATTAAGCAAACTAAAAGTGCTAACTCATCATGTTCATTTTCATTCTCGTTCGTGAATTTGATGTGTGATGAAAGTGTATTTATCCGTTTCGAAAAAGATCTTATATGATTCTTTTTTATCACAATAAAGGTATCATCTACATATTTTAGCCAAATTTAAGGTTCAATGTCGTTGGAGAAAATATTCGATTCTATGTGTGCCATAAACGGGTTGGCTACAATCGGGGACACGGGGGATCCCATTGCTGCACCGTTAGTTTGTTTGTATAACATCCCGTTTAAAGTAAATAGAGTCAGATTTAAGCAGAGTTTTAAGGATTTTATGATTAGACTGATGATCAAGCGACATCTGTCAGAAAGTGTATTGTCGTTCTCTAGTAAACCACTAATGAATTCCAAGCATCTATCAATAGGAATACTAGTGTATGATGAAACAAAACCAAAGCTTACCATGACTTCATTCTTTCTGATAACTAATTCCGACATTTTTGATTTAAAGTCATAGGAATCTTTAATCATGTTATGTAAGTTAAGTTGTAGTGGCATTAATATGCTGCTTAGATATTTCGATAATGCACATCTTGGTGTGTTCATGAAGTTTACTATAGGTCTTAGAGGGATGTCTGGTTCATGGATTTTGGGTAAAGCATAAGAACGTGTAGTATTGCATGATTTGGAATATAGATCAAACCATAGCAAGACACCAGTGACTGGTTTTAGGTCTTTTAAATGTAGATTTGTCTCTGATTTGACTTTATTTTTAATCGTTTGAGGAGTTTTTCGATCGATCTTTTCATTTGGTCCTGTAGAGAGATGTTCAAGAGCTTTATCAATATAATCTGTTTTATTCATGATCATTGTTGTGTTGGCTTTGTCTACTTTTGTGATTATAATAGTTTTGTCTTTTTGAATCTAATGTAGAGCCTTCAATTTTTTTTGAAATGTTGGGCGTAAGGTATTTTTGTTTAGTTAAAATATAGGATGTCTTTTGACGCAATAAATGCAACTCTTTTTCCGGTAGTTGTATGATTATTGGTTCTATAATTGGAGCAACTTCAAGAGTACTAAGTGGTTATCTATGTATATTGAAACTTAATCCTCTCTCAGGTAGAGTGATTTCATGATTGTTTAAGTTTCTATCTGAGAGATTATGAACAGTTCGTAGATCGTTCGAACTAGACTTTATTGCTGAAATTTTCTTATATTTCTTTCTTTCTTTAATCTTTTCAACTTTTTTTGATTTGCCGGCGTTTGGATGGATCTAAATAATGACATTCTCTTTCTATAAACAGGTTGGAAATCGTAGTTTGTAATTCTTTGGGAACTAAAAGCTTCAGTAGACAATCTACGTTTTTGATTCCTTCACGATATTTTTCAATTATAATTATGAATAGATTAATGAGAGGAACCATGATGTGTATAGGTAATAAAATACGTTACCTTCGAACACTGTAATTTAATATTTGAGGTTATTTACAAGATAGATTCTAATGAAGTTTTAATGGAGATTTAGTGATACATAACATATTTCATACACTCAAACGATTTAGTAAATAGATACTTTGCGTTATATAAACATCCTCAAACTCTTGACTGGTTCAGATGTTTAGCATTGTGTCCTTTAGTAGTTTTGTAAGGATATTTGTGTGTCAGATGAATTTGTGACCTAATGAAAATGTACTGAAAAGAATATTCATTGTTTATATGTTTATTAGTTAATTCATGGTTGAGTTCGTGGAGTAGACTGTTTGCAAATACTTAACGAATTTTATTCAACAGAATATTCAAGGAATAAACGTATTCAGAAGGGGATTTGTGGAGATTTCAGTATATTTCAAAGTTGAAATCATGAGTCAATTGAAGCTAGACCATCATCGAAAACATGGAAGCACTGGACGACCGTTTCGTCCTATTATGGGACTCCTCAGCAGTGCGCACCCACGATCCCGCACTCGCGAGATTCGAACCCAGGACCTACCAGTTACGAGCCAGAGCCCTTAACCGATCTAGCTTCAATTGACTCATGATTTCAACTTGGAGATTAAATAACACTCATGGAGTAGATACGTTACGTAATAATTATATAATGACATCGATTATAAACTAACATTAACTGGTTGGGCTAGGAAGATAGCAAGACTAATGAGTATTCAAGACTGCTCATACGGCTTTTATGTATTATTACTCTGATCAATAATTCACTCCACTCTAATTGGCGGGAATCATCACCTCATATATTAAACAAGGCACGTATGCATGCACATCATTCGATATAAAAAATATAGTAATAAAATATAAATCATATCATATTCTGTGTATATTGTGTTTGTTTTCTTTCTTCAATTTAGAGTGTATCGCATGCAAATCCGGTGTTAGACAAGCTAAGAATATAATTTTAAGTTCAACAAATAAGTCAATCAATGATAGAATTCAAAATCTTTGCATGACAGCTGGTCCATTTAATACATCAGTAAGTAATTATTATCAACTTCCTTTAATATCAGCTTAATTATGCACATAAATGTATCTTCTGATAACTATGATACAGTAATAAACATTGGTGAAGTGGTCAAACGCTGAAAAAAATTATTAAACCAAGAATTTTGATTGAGTTTTGCCCTCTGAGCTGAACGACCAAATCATTCAGCTCAAAGAACAAAACTTCATCAAAATCATCCACCTAAGCTACAAATCTTCTCCATCATCACATAATCAAGAATTTCATGCATAAAACTCTGATTATTTGACTAATGTTTGACTTTGTAACAGGAAGTAAACGTTAACAAGGTTAGATATTAACGCAGCCTCACAAAATAACTGAAGTTTTATAAACTGTAAACTGTAAGTTTTCGAATAAATAGCATCATACTCATTGTAAGACCAAAAAATGTTTGTACTGAAAAGTCTCAATGCCTAACAGTTACTTGGATTCTAAATAGTTTATTGGCAAACAATAGTCATTCAACAGCGATTATATAGTTACTATAAACCTATGGGACCAATAGCCATTACTATACATATGGTACCAGGGTGAGAGATGAAAAAAGACCATAATATTTCACATTCTCAGTAGTAATGTACTAGGTGTCTGTACATGAAATATCCGAAAGCATAGTATATTATTACGTGGAGTCTAATGTATAGGAATTGATCTTAAATAATATCGTGAATGTATACTACTGATAACATGACAAGAATGAAAGTATTCTTCAATATATCTTAGTTTTCAATATCTATTTAATCATTATCAATCGGTAAAATAAACAAGAATGAAATACATAACACCATTGAAGGGTTATTCTATTTTTCTTGGATTACTTTCATTTCTGCTGAATAAATTCTGATATGAGAAATGGCTTGATTAACAAACTTGAGGCGGGATCGTGGATGCGCACTGCTGAGAAGTCCCATAATAGGATGAAACGGCTGTCCAGTGCTTCCAGGTTTTCTATGGTGGTCTAGCTTCAATTGAGTCATGATTTCAACTATGAAAATAACAAACTTTTACCTACTTATATACTCTAAGACTTGATACATTATACATAATATCTGTTGTCTTTTCAATGTCAAAAAACATTTTAAGTGCTCCATATTGGATATGAGATATTTGGAGGTGGTAGACAGAAAGCCCTAAAAATAACATCTTTTTCGTATCAGCATCTATCAACTAATCATCCTTGAGAAACCAAGAAAATTAAACTATTCAACTCCTTCAATTAATGATTTCATTATTGGGTTTATTTAGCAGTGAGTAATTTACTGTTAAGGAAGATCATATAGTTTATCAAGTTATCAATTATTCATTTACAATCCATTAATCAGCGATCATTGGTGCCCAGATTACATGAACTCATCTTCGAATCTCAACCATACTTTTTGGTCGTATATTACATTCTTGATTTTATAGGATCGAATCCTCGATCATTTGTTGGTGTAAATAAAGAGGTGTGTAAATTCATTTAGTATTGCTTGTCTGAATCTTCCCATCGATTTGTTAGAACTGCAACTGGTCAGTCTCTAATTGGCATATGTGCATAGTGTGCGTATTGCCTCGATATAGCCTTAATCCACAAGCATGGTAAACAAAGATGGATAGTGGACTCGTCAGCTGGATGTACCTGCATCTCAGAGTTGATGTTCACTTTGAAACGCGAACCCAGCACTTTTCGCTTCAAACGCCATCGCGTTATCCACTAGGCCACTGACGAGTCCCAAATAGGACGAAACGCGCGTCCTGGATTCCACTGCTAGCCACTATCCATCTTTGCTTACCGTGTTTGTGAAAGAGGTGTGTATTTAAACTTAATGGCAAGTTTAATCTCTTTTATTGATCTGAAACTTTAGCTTACTCATACTAAACTACAGAATTTGCTAATGATTAATAAACTAGACTGTAAGTTTGTAACCTTAATCCAGTTTACTCAGATGTGTGATTTTAACAAATGCAAGAAAGGGTATTAACAGTGAAATATAATAGATAACTTTCTTTACAGTCGGTCACTCAAAAGAAATTTTGCTTTTAAACGTTGTATCAAAAACTTTGAATATCCAGTCTGTTTACGACCTACATTTTACATTAAGACATGAATAACTGTGTTTTTGAATTTAGTCAGCTTTTACTTGGGACAGGTTATTGAAAATTTTGATTTTTCTGATTACTTGCTCTATTCCATTCCGGATAGTATCCTATACCCTCTGATTTTACAACGCAAAGCCAAAGATCACTGACTGAAATTTGTAACTCCCATTAACTTTCCTTATATCACAACTTATTTCTCTACTGTAGTACTTGATACAACCATTTCAAGGAATGTTCTCCGTGTGAATAATATGAAAACAAATTATTTCAACATGAGATAGTTGTTCTTAAGTAAACCGCGTAAAGATATTTCAGGTTGATCGACTAAAAAAATAATAGGTAAGCACTCATGATGCGTTATAGTCTATGATGAACCGTTTGTATGGTATTGCATCAACTGAACTATATTGAAACCGCTTTTCAACTAGAACTTCTATTCTAATATTGAGTTCATTCTATGCTTGTTATCCCTCGTGGAGGAGCATAGGCCGCTAACCAAGATTCTCTACTGAAGTATGTTCTAGGCAATATTGAGTTCAAGCAAATGGGAAATGTTAGTAATCTTCTTTTTCATTTGAATGTTTCTGTTTTCAGTGTGAAATGTTTGCGTATGAACTTTCATCAAATATACTTAATACAATTCAGAAGGTGGTACCACAAAAGTTGTGTGCTGTAAGTCGATTCAGGATTTCTTTCACTTGTATAATATTACTTCTGTTATTGTCTTTACTAATTAGACTGTATTTGGCAGATTTTCTGTTTGCATGAAGTTGACAAAATGAGTATTGAAATAAAATTTAAGTTTTCATAGTATTCTCTGTACAGAATTTCCGATTATTGGACATGAAGTTGACTTGAAAAGCTGCACGACTGAACTAAAGCATGTGTTGTGTTTCAACCCTAATGATTATCTTTATAAAAAATGAAAATACGATTACCTACGGTTATCTTGAATAATTAATTATATCATCTAATCATCTGATGTCTGTAAAACGTGAATACTTACCCCATAAAGACTTATTTAACAGTTGAAAGGCTCATTTAGTTGTCCATATAACAACTGTCAGATTGATTGTTTCAAGTTCAACCTCGATTTGGGGTTTCTTTCAACATCACTAATTATTTTTGTGTAAACGACAATAAGTTATGTGCATAGATATGTCATACACATAGTTCCGTTTACAATTTAAAAAAAAGTATGTGACTGAATATTTTAATAATGAGTTTATGTCGAGCTAGCAGGTAACGTATTGGGAAAACGTGTAATAATTTTACGAAAGCATTATAATCAGACGCTACATAAGAGGATAGACAAAGGGCAATGAAATGTACCTCTGTATACTAATCAAAAGAAACTGATGATGATTCACAATTTACAAGAGCAAATTCAAGATAATTTGAGAGCAGAAATCAGAAACATTAGGATTAATTACTAAGTACAAAATGAATTGAAAGGAAATGTCAGTATGCCTCATATCTGGAGAAGTGCAGTTAAGACTAAAAATACTTTTATTCAGTCTCATATACTACTGAAATACTTGAAAGTTGTGTCACAAACATATTCCAAAAGAAAAATTTCAGGGAGTAAGAGGGCTTACGAAGGAAAATCTACCGTCATATGAGAATCCCAAATCAACATCACAGTCGTCGTCTAACAAAAGTCCTGATCTACAAGTAAGAACTCTGGAGCTAATTATGTTTTAAATGAGTATAAATGTCCAATGTTCACATTAAATGATTGTAACATCACATAGTTACGTTTATTTATACTTCATATCGAATCAGTAAAGCTATTATCACGATAAGAGACGAAAGGCTCTGGGTTCGATATCTTCTGTGGTTGTTAATCCTCAGTGGTGAGGACTCTCATACTAGAACGAAACAGCTGTCTAGTGCTCCCTGATTTCCAGTGGTTCTATATCTCACATTGATTAGTGTTCTCAACAAAACAACATTATTAAATTGATTGAGTGCCTAAACAGTAAATTAATGGTTGTTTTCCAGACATTTGGTTTTTGCTATAAACCACCTGAGATATCTGGTGAGTTTGTAATATTTTGTGTAACATTTAGACAGTCCATTAATTGACCATAATTTCTGTTTATGTTTATGAGGCTTGTGATTTGATGCTATAAAATATCGTATCATGATGATTAAAGCATAAACCTGCTTACTATCACAGAACAATAAAGCAATGATTGCCAAAATATGTTGGTCAGGTTTACCACTGTTCATGTTAGATGTTATTCAAATAAGTTAAGGTTGCTAGGGCGGTGTTAACGTAAAGTGACGGCAGGTAAGTGGTTTTAGTTAGAGAATTCACCAATAAGAATGGCTAAACATTTAAAGTTCCTACAATCTCACTTATAGAGTAAGATACACTTACAGGCTCCAGGACATTTAATGCATTTTCAAAGGAGCAGTATGCATCAATGCAGCGAACAAACAATGGGAGATATATATCGTACGGATAGATTGTGGTAGATTATTCCAGAGTCTAGAAAACTTACAAGTACAGTAATTCATATAGAGAGATGACTTAGAATGGGTTTGTTTCGCTAGTGACAAGCAGTTACGTATGTCGTAATGAGAAGTTTCTGCATATTGAATTGCTTGGTTGGATGTAAAGGATAGTTTATTAAGTATTTTGAAGAATATAAGACTTAGTTTGAGTCTCCTCTTCCATAAAGAGTTGAGCCCGAGTTTATTACATCTAGAATTATGAGTCAAGGTACAGTCAGTTCCAAGAATACGGAGTGTAAATCGTTTCTGCACTGATTCCAGCCTTAATTTATCCTTCATACGCGCACCGCTAAGAGTAAACGCGCAGTATTCTAGGAGTGATTGAACACAAACTTTGTACGTTAAAATACGTGATTCATTGTTAAAAAGGTTTCGAGTTATATAACATATAAGATGTCTGTTTCGTTATTTGTTTTGCAAACGACAAGTCGTAGGAGTACCTAAGTCCTAAGACTACTACTGTATATAACCTAGATAACACTTCACCATTTACGGTAAGATCTAAGTTGAGTGATGTATCACTGAAGCAAATCCATCCACATTTAACTGTATTAGGATCCCGCTGCCAATTTGAGCACCACTGTTCTACCTTATTAAGCTCCATGCTGATGCAATTTTAAATATTGTTCAGTTCATGTGGAGAATATGAATACACTACTTTAAGATCATCTGCATACAGAAGGGGCTCACCCACACAGAAATCATTGATAAAAACTAAAAAGAGCAAAGGGCCTAAGACACTACCCTTGCTGGGGAAGGAATCAAACCAACCAAGCAGAGGGTTTTGGACTTTAGAAATGTTCAGGTACAGCACTAATCCTAGATATCCTTGGCTACGTAGAGAATAGACTAAATTAAAGAATTCAAAGTGACATGACATACAAGATCAATTTTTAGAAAATCCATGTTGCGTATCATTGATAAACTTTTCAGTCAGTAAATAGTTGGATAGTTCGTCACCAATAAATTTTTCCATAATCCTGGAGTAATATTTATCGACCGATAATTGTCCATGTCAGTCTTATCTCCAGATTTGTAACGTGGTATGATGTACGCGGTTTTCCAACAGTAAGGGTAAGAACCTGATTCCATAGAGAGAGCAAACAGCTTTAGAAGAAGTGGAATGTCCAGACCTCCATACTTGTAGAGAAATGATGGAATCCCGCCTGCTCCGTGAATTTTCTAAAACTTAAGGGTATTTATAACCCTACTCGTTTTCAAGCACGTGAAGGAGATAGATTTTATTGAGTTACTAATCATTCATATAACTCTTGAAACAGCGCCATTCATGAATTCTTTGCCACTCGCAAAAGTACCACTGAAAAGGTCTGCTATAGTTTTAGAGTCGTATATAAAAGTGTTATTATGCAGGATGCATGGTATATCAACACTGGGAGTTGGTTTAGCGCGTTTATTGGAAAGGAGAATTAAGCTTTGTACTTTTGAGCTCCTCATCAATGGCTTTTAACCTATGTTTCTCTTTCATTTGGTTAAAAATTATAGTTATTTGTGCAGCTGTTATGAGATCGTTTGACTTAAGATAACGTTTCTCTAGGCATCTTAGTTTATTACGATATTTAGCTGGTATTTATAATTTTTAAGGTTTACTAAAGCTGTACTTTTTAATTGATGCAAAGGAATCTAGACAAGAGTTAACGGTCAAATAGAATTCGTTGATGGCATCCATGAGACTATTACACGCGGAAAATTCATCCCAGTCTGGGAGATTGATCAGTGAGCGCAAGAGGTCCCAGTCAACATGCTTATAGTCTCTATATTGACAGGTTTTTTGAATTGGTCGGTTATAAAAGGGATAGATAGGGAGAGTACAAGCTACTATCTTATGGTCACTGCTTTGAAATTCATTGTATACTTGTACATATTTTAGGATGACATCTCTACTAAATATTATATCAAGCATATTATCACCACTTGTTGGGGTACGAACCCACTGTGACCAGCAGTGCAGGTTAATGATTGTCGAAAATCCATCATTACTTGACTGAAAACTACCGGTACTCCAGTTAATCTCAGGACAATTGAAATTTCCAATTATAAACTTAGCATTGAAGATTAGAGAAGATGCATGTATAAATGCATTGATAATAAAATCATTCACATTATCCGAACCATCTTGTAGATTGTTTATGAAACGGAAGTCGACACTATTCCTAAATCTTAACCACAAATTCTGCAATAAAATTAACTCTAGTAGCACTGCATTTTATAGACAGATTAATCTGATATAACGTTTCATATTTTTGAGTGAAATTCATTCACCTGTTTGACTACAGATAGTTTTTCATTCATGGATGATATCTGTCCACGATGGAAACTCGAAAGCCAAATTTCTAACCCTAACTAGAAACATTCTGAAGACTATTAAAGGTCGATTTGTGTCCTTTTAAGGGTTTAATGTAATAGACAGTCTGGATATACTTCGCAAAATGGTTATTTCCTTTTCCAAAAACCATCCACTTATAAGCACCTTTTCCTCATTGGCTAGAAACTAGTCCCTATACAATACTGTCACCCTTCTATAGTGACTATGTGCACAAGTTTTGCTAAGCCTCTGAATATTTGATTAGCTCAATGTTATATAAACTAATAAACAAAATGATGATAAGACATATTGAAGAGTTTCTAAGCCATCTCGAGGTATTCATTCCAAATTCACATACGATAACAAAAGATGATTCAATGCAGCTCTACGTATCAATAACGAGATGATAAAAGTTGGGTTTTTTTTTCGAATTTAAAATCTAACCTTTTTCTTTCCAAACTGATGAACAATCATTTTTGTATTTTCTGTATAATATTTAGTTTGTGAATATTGCCTCAAATCTGGACTCTTGATTAAATCAATATTATTGTCGGAGAATTTTGTATCTGAGTTATATAATAATACGTTAAATATGTGTAATACACAACCTAATCATTCACTCATTGTAAGTTTATAATTGTCAAATTTTATATTTGTTTTGTTTAATAATATGAAGTGACATTCATTCCAGAGAGGAAAAAGACACTCAAGAAGATTGAGACTAAGAAGGTAATTTTTATTATGAAGTAGACAGTGGTCTGACGACTACTATATAGATTCTGATACTATGAAGCACGTGAACTAACATGACCTTAGTTAAATCAATAGATCTATGCAGTTCGTTATTTATTTCTATTGCTAAATCAATGAACAAATGTCTAGTTCAGGATGATGAAAGCATGAAATTGTTCAAAACACTCAATACCTTGAATTAAATCCTACATATATTTGGCAATAACTAGCAGGTATACATATACACTGAAACTCAAACCGACAATCAGTAACTTGAAATGTCATCGTTTGAGTCACTAAGCGGAACCGAATTTCACTGCAGTTTGTACATCCTAGTTATTGTTTTCCATTTCAGGAGAATATGCCTATATTTGATTCTCAGTCAAGAGACATGCCAAGTTAAAATGTTTGGAATATTATACAATCAAAAGTTTGGATTTTACTGTCGAATAGTTGCAAATAATGAATTAGTTAATTAAAATGAGGGCAATCCAATAAAGAGAATTTTCACTTGAATGATGTTATTTATTAAATCCATATATAATTGTTGATAGTTATTTTATACAGTATTTTATAATGAAAAGGTTGTTGCGCAATTAGCAAGCATACCAGAAATATTTTCAACAGTCGAATATAAATTACATAATTATTCAGGTGTGATAGCCAGTCAGTCAGCTACAACGTAGAACCAGGAACATATTTGCATCGGTCCAAGTTGCCATATCTCATTAGCACAACAAGATGAACACTGGATTCATAGAAGTAGTTAATTTAGTGGTGGTAATATGTAAGATGGAGATAAAGTGGAAATTACATATAGAAAAGAGATTGATAATGGTAATTCACATGGTGTTGTTTAGTTGAATCTTCCCATTGGTGATCTAAACTGCAATTGATCAGTCTCTTATTGGCATATATGCTTAATGCTTCGATGTAGCCTTAGTTCACAAGCATTATAAGCAGAGATGGATAGTGGCTAATATTGGAGTTCAGGACGTGTGTTTCGTCCTATTTTGGACTCGTCAGTTGGATGTACCTGCGTCACAAAGTTGATGTTCACTACAGGACTATCAATCTTTGCCGATAATGTTTATGACTAAAGGTAATATCGAGGCAACCCTCACAAGATGCACATATGACAGTAACAGACTGATTGATCACATTCTTAAAACATCAATAGGAAGATTCAAACAAACAATACAAAATGAATTTACTGTGTAAAATAGTTAATATATAGCATAATATGGGTTTAATAAATGATATCATTATGCTTAAAATAGTCAGTCAGTCAGTCACAACGTAGAACTTCGTACGTACGCACATCAGTTCGATTTGCCATACCACATTAGCACAGAGATGCAGTTGTCGATTCAAATTCCATAGTGGTAGAAGTAGTAAGAGTATAAGCAATATGTGAAAGATTAGGGTTTGAAGATGTTATTGAAGGAGTGTAATCCAGTGAAATAAACTTGGAAAGAGAAAAATGATGGAGACCTGAAGAATTCAGATTAGAATTTGGTAGAACACAAAGAGTGGATACACCTTCGCCATTGCAAATGATTTTGAGACATGTCATTCAAAGTCTCTAACCATCGATTGCTATCATCTCTCGGATTCCAAACAGGTAGTCTACACCTACCAACATGGCTCAGTCAGAAGACTCTGCATTTTGTCAGCGTCTTCACCAAATAGAACTATATCATCATCGTATTCTAAGTCAACAATTGAGTCTCCTAGTAAAAGTTCAACTCCTGGAGATTGAGATGATGAAAGTGTTATCTCTAAAAGCATGTCGACGACAAGATTGAACAAGAATGGGGAGAGTGGACAGCCCTGGCGAACACCACTTGAGGTAATCAATTCTGATGACAGTTCGCCATAGGTTTAAAATATCTTAATTCTTTATTAATTATTCACTTTAATTTATTGCTAACATTCTTTTCATTTTCAGTGTGGTCCTTTCCTACATGATTTGTTTGTAGCAGTAACATTAAGCTTTAACAAACAATTTCTTATACAACGGTTTTGTCAGGTAATAATATAACTATAGTGTACATAAATTCACTTAGTATTGTTTGTTTGAATCTTCCCATTGATGTTTAGGACTACAACTGGTCAGTCTCTAATTGGCATATGTGCATAATGCCTCAATATAGCCTTCGAGTCCCAGAGTGAACATCAACTCTGAGATGCAGGTACATCCAACTGACAAGTCCTAAATAGGACGAAACGTGAGTCCTGGATTCCACTGCTAGCCACTATCCATCTTTGCTTATAGTGTAAATATTTTTTCATTCAATTTTGAATGAATGGATAAACTGGGATAGGAAAATAATAAAAATCTAGTTTGACATGTTTAATTATTACAAGTCAAATATCAGTATGGTACGTATTAAAGTTCATAAAAACAAAAGCTTTGAATACACGGATCAAGATTTAATCAGTATAGTACTTTTTCTATTCCCTGTCTTGAAGTGAACAACAAACAGTGACAATATAAGCTAAGTAAAATCAGAAGAATTGATTGATCACTGAGTAGTGATCAATATGATGTTCGTCTAATCCTGGAAGTATGCATCCATCTCCACAAAAACACCTTCTGATAAAAAAATAGTTTATCTTAAATAGTTAAAATCCGTAGAAGTATTTCAGTGTAAAGCCTGTCGAATCTTCGATATTTTTAATTCTCCTTTTAATACATAAAATTAAATTAATACAGTATAGCCATCTATAGATTTTATTATTTGGAGTGTGAGTCAAGTGGGGAATAACATCGTTATAGGTGTATGTAGGTTACTGATATCCACATAAGTAGTATATAGTGATGGTCGGGCATTCAATGTATTTCAGTAGAAGATCGATAAGGAGAGAACCGGAACGACACGCAATTGGTACGAAAATGAATGAACAACTATAATCGGAGACTATGAACGGATGTTTGCAGAGAAAATTGATTGTTATTTTGCAAATTAACTGTTCACTATATGGTTCTCATATTTTAATGAGATATTCTATAATGTTGTGCTAAAATACATTCGATTGTCTCCACCCGTGTTCTTGTTCACTACATAGGGTTATACATTTTAAACTGAATAATGTTTCTTTTAAAAAAACAATTTTTAAGTCATTCAAATCTTTACCTTTTTTCTTGTTTGCCTCACATATAGAATGCTGGATTTTGTTCAGAAGCATAAAATATCAATGTGGATGAATATTATTTCCTTTATTTAATCGACTACGTATGAAATATCAACTATTTCTGGTTGCTAAACAAATATACTATTGAAATTTAAACATCTTCTTGATAGTAGTACAATAAATTATCATCAAATTTTATTGAATAACTTAGACTCAAGTGATTTTATTCTAGTTGTTTGGATGGTGTTCTTCTGGAATAACCCTCCTTAAATAACTCTAATAGTTACTCACGAATTGATGATAAATAACTATTGTATAGGGTGATCAATGACTGTTAATCGATATAAAGTTCTTCTATAATGCAGAAAAAAAATTAATCAAAGAATAAACATATACGAATATAAATTTGGTCAGTCAGTCACAACGTAGAACTTCGTACGTACGTACGTACATCAGTTCGAGTTGCCATACCACATTAGCACAGAGATGAAGTTGTCGATTCAAATCCCATAGTGGTAGAAGTAGTAGGAGTATAATCAGAAATCCAAAAGATTAGGGTTTGAAGAAATTATTGAAGGAGTATAATACAGTGAAATAAACTTGGAAAGAGAAAAAGGAGAAGGACACAAATAATTCAGATTAGAATTTGGTAGAACACAAAGAGTGGATACACCTTCGCTATTGCAAACGATTTTGAGCCATGTCATTCAAGGTCTCTAACCATCGATTGCTATCATCTCGCGAATCCCAACCAGGTAGTCTACACCTACCAACATGGCTCAGTCCACTTGTCAGTGACTTCATGGATTTGTGCCACGTTTTGGTCTGGCCACCCCTAGCTTTCTTCCAACCTGCTTCTACACTATAAAGCATTGCACGTCGGGGCAGTCGGTGGTCGGGCATACGTAACACATGTCCCAGCCATCTCAACTGATCAAGTTTCAGTACTTCATCAATCGATTTGCCATCCTTACCTAGTACCCGTATCCTAACAACTGCATTATTTACCCGGTGGTCCCAGGATATACGAGCAATGCTTCGAAGACACCTATGATCGAAAACTAGTAGCCTACGAATATACTCTACCCTTATCGGCCATGTTTCACTGCCATAAAGTAGGACGGAACGAACTGCTGCACAGTAAACCCGTCCTTTTGTTGCTAGACGGATATCTCGCCTACGCCATAAATGACGCAAGTTGGTGAAAGCTGAGATTTCGTCACATACCAGACCACAAGGGCTGATGAGACTCCCAAGATAAGTGAAGTGGTCTGCACGCTCAACTACTTCACTCCCTATCATTAGTTCAGGTGTCGCTGCAACCCAATCCTGAAGTAACATTTTACACTTCGAGGGAGAGAATCGCATCCCGAACATGCCTGCATAGTTGCTTATAGTGGTCAGAAGACTCTGCATGCTGTCAGCGTCGTCACCGAGTAAAACTACGTCGTCGGCGTATTCTAAGTCAACAAGTGAGTCTCCTGGTAATAGTTCAACTCCTAGAGGTTTAGCTGATGAAAGTGATATCTCTAAAAGTATGTCAATGACAAAGTTAAACAAGAATGGGAGAGTGGACAGCCCTGACGAACACCACTTGAGGTAACCAATTCTGATGACAGTTCGCCATAGGCTCTAACTCGACCAGTTGTGTTCGAGTAGAGAGCCTTTATGAGGTTAATGTACTTCTTTGGTACTCCTTTCAGTGACAAACACTGCCATAGAACCTCACGATCAACGGAGTCAAATGCCGCCTTATGGTCAAGAAATACTACTATTGTGGGACGTCTGAATGTATGTCTATGTTCTAGGAATATAAATTCATTTAGTATTGTTTGTTTATATCTTCCTATCGATGTTTAGGACTGTAACTGGTCAGTCTCTTATTGGTATATGTGCATACTGTGCGTATTGCCTCGATATCGCCCTGATTCACAAGCATTATAATTAAAGATGGATAGTGGCTAGCAGTGGAATCCAGGACGCGCGTTTCGTCCTATTTGGGACTCGTCAGCTGGATGTGCCGAATGGATAACGCGATGGCGTTTGAAGCGACTGGTACTGGGTTCAAGTCTCAGAGTGAACATCAACTCTGAGATGTAGGTACACCCATCTGACGAGTCCTAAATAGAACGAAACGCGCTTCCTGGATTCCACTGCTAGTCACTACCCATCTTGGCTTACAATATACAAATATAAGTTGTATAAATGCCTAATCGATGCTTTTTACTATATAACCAAAGCCATATAAGGGTCAAACTAATATACTTGGAGTTTCTATCAAGTACACAGACCTCTAACTTTCAAAGTACATTCGTTCTCAAATTTCTCTCTACGTAGTCATGTTTACATTTTAAAATTCACTGAAATCCTTCTTCAACCAAGCCAGTAGAAGTTATTGATCAGATCTTCCATATGACTCATTAATATTACAGTCACAAATAAACCTACCGAATATTCTGAAAACTGAGAAAAACTAAATTTCGTGTTAATTCAAACTCATAACTGTGGAATCTTGAATTTCCATTTACTGAAGATTGATCAAGGGAATTCTTAGTTCTTTTATTTCTGATATCGATTGTAGAAAACACTGAGAAAGTACTAGTGAAGGGGAGGTAACTGAAGATATAATACTCCTTGGTTTATGATTGTCTTCCATTTATTAGCTATTGATTCAATGGATCGTGACTTTATTTATCAGATAATTTAACTTCATTGTAAGCACAAGAAATTAGTGAAAAGGTTCTCGTATTCGTTAATTCTATTCTAAATATCTGTAGTGTTTGTTTTAATATCAATGTATGAAACGTTTAGTCAAAATACATAACATCAAAGATTTATTTATGAAAAATAAATTATCATCTTTCTACAGTATTCAAACAATTCAATAACCACAGCTTCGCGCATTCATTGAATTAGATGGTCTATTTCTTTTAACGCAAATACAAACCCTGCAATAGTACCTTTCGCATCAAACGCCATCGCGTTACCCTGGGTTCGAGTCCCAGAGTGAACATCAACTCTGAGATGCAAGTACACCCATCTGACGAGTCCCAAATAGGACGAAAAGCGCATCCTGGATTACACTGCTAGCCATTATCCATCTTTAATTATAATGCTTGTGAATCAAGGCAATATCGAGGCAATACGCACAGTATGCACATATACCAATAAGAGATTGAACAGTTGCAGTCCCAGGCATTATTAGGAAGATTCAAACAAACAATACTAAGTGAATAACAATAGTGGTTTATAATAATTCGATAACAGGCCACAAACTAGTGGTACAATTTTATGTAAAATTGAAGACAATTCTGTTGTTGATGAATTCGTGAAATTATGGTCCAACTGTTCATTCGATTACAGACTAAGATACTCGAGGAAACAAATATTTTGGTTACTGTCAACAACTTTATTAAGTGCACAACTCACGTTCACAGTAACAAGAATTACATTTTTCAAATATAAACAAAACATAAATAGTCTTAACTTCTTCCGCAGAAATTATTATTCATTTACGAAAGTATAGACTGTTATTCATTCGCTAATAATTGACTCATTGAGTAAAGCATGGAGTAAATATATCTTGGACATTCTCTTATCATAATGATTTACACGTATGTTTAAATACAGATGACAATCAAAACAAGCTCAATTGATATATGAAAATAATTCATTGAAACACAAAAGTGGAAATCAGCCTTCTTCTTGTCTATTAACACCTTTATTAACTTTCAGATTCAGTGATCACTGTGGCAATTACAAATCTGTGTATGGATCGAGAAATCCATTCAATTTTTAACATTTCACTTTCAATGAAATCCAATGTCCTTCTTTTATTATAATCCTTGATCGCATAAATTTACACAACTGAATACTTTCAGTTACACTTCTACGTGATCAATAAGAAAGTGTTTATCTATTTTGATCTTAACATCTATTAACAACCAGTGGAACAATATTGCGAATCAACTAGGATTCATGTGGCTTTGTTCAGAAGTTACAATTCCACATTCAACGATGATGGAACTGTCTATCAGAATTAACTTTACTGCAATAAAATTCAAATGTGCAGATGTGAAATTAGATATCCAATCAAAACAATGCATCAATGTAGCAAGTAATTTCCTACAGGTGCAACTCTAAGCTATTCTCTAGACTGTCGAGTACAGAGTCTTGGTTTCGCCAAAGTCAGAACAAGTAAGCTATTGGCTTAATAAACTTTATCTGTTTCTAAAATGTAAATTAACAATGTTAGTATGCAAATAAACAGTACAGTCTATTACATAGGGAAAAGGAGAGACATAAATGATATACCGAACAGTAATTGGAGAATAGGAAAAATGAATCAACAAGGCGAATATTGTTTTAGAATGAACATGAAATTGTGATTGTTGGATAAAACAAGACATAGTCATACAAGGTCAAAGAAAGTTAATGTAGTGGAGAGCGTTTCACTCAATCATTGATGTGTTCGGTTATCGATCTCACTTTACAACCAGTTCATAGGTTATTACAAGCAACAAATTGTGTGTTCGTGGAAACATGACCATACACTTCGAACAAACAAATAAACCAACCAATTAGTTTAAAGTATTCCTAATAATATACAAAACAGTTTGTATCAACAGAGGTCAGGAATTCCAACTAAACATTGGATAACTGGTGGTCTATGAACCTCAATAGTTGGAATATTGCATAACGATGAGCTCATCTTCCATGATGATTAGTTAACAATGATCATATGATCTCATGAATTTCGTCGTCTTAATGGTCACTTTAAATCATCCAATCAGAAAGAAACAAATAAACACTTAGAAAATCTATATAAACTCGACAAGTTCTAACAACAATTATTAAAGTTTTCAACAAGAAGATGAGATGAGTGTTGACCGTACAGTTAAGGTTAATGAGTGTATAATATGCATGTCAATTCTTTTCAATAAAATAAGGCCGTTTTATCACGTGAACCACTTTAGATATCCTTTTTCGTCTGGTCAGTTGATACTCTTCTATTCGATCGACACCTTGACTTCCGGATTCTTAGATTGTAAGCACT